GCCATTATTCTCATTAACAAGAAATGATGATCAAGTCAAGAATCAGGACTCAAGCTCCCAAGGATGAATCTGAACCGTGGGACCCACATGGAGGCAGGAGAGAACCGACTTCTACAAGTTGCCCTCTGACCTCCAAGTGTGCACATGGCCATCTGTGAGCATGCCCATGCACGCACACACGCACGCGCACACACACACACACACACACACACACACACACACACACATACACTCACTCTTAACTAAATTTATTAAACTGTATAACAGGAAAGAGTAAGAGCACAAACGTGAAGTGGAAGGAGGGGAAACAGAAGGTGTAAAGACAGAAATTAAATATCTCCTTGCAACAGAGACCATTACAGAAACCACAACGGATCAAACTGGAGAACAAGGGCCCCTGACGCTTCTACAACACAGTTCCTGCACCCAGACTCAGGGATCACAGCACAACAGGGCATGGAAGACTAAGAGCCCACCGAGGGAACAGGAAGTTTGCAGTGAGATTTCATCTCCTAGAAATGTCAGGGAAGCTGCACCCAGGAAGTCTCACTAACATGGCTGCCTGAACAAGACCTGAACTAGGACGCCAGCAATAGGCATGGCAACATGGAAGGAGGACTCTCATGGGGCCCCAGCCCTAAAATTACAGACAACCAGGGATTGCTAAGGGCAGGAGAAATATCCTTCCCCAGGGAAGAACCCCCAAAGTGGTTATCCAATACTAAATAGCCCTAAAATTATATTATATATATGTACAAGTAACATCATATGGACTAAGCAGGCTATACTTAAATACTTAGGAGTGTGTGTGTGTGTGTGTGTGTGTGTGTGTGTGTGTGTGTAGCAACATGAGGCCTTGTCAGGCCTTGTCACGCCTTTAATCCCAGCACTGGGAAGGCTGAGTCAGGTGGATCTCTGTGAGTTCAAGGCCAGCCTGATCTACAGAGCGAGTTCCAGGACAGCTAGAGCTGTTACACAGAGAAACCCTGTCTTGAAAAAACAAAACAAAACAAGATGAAAGGGACGAGGGGAAGACAAGAAGTGCAGGAGAGTTGGAAGAAAATTATAATAATCTTGGTTTGCCACAAGTAACTAAAACAACAGTTGCAACAGCCATGGAAAGAAGGGATGGATTTTTCCTGCTGCCAAGCACAGAACCAAGGCCAAAAAACCAAGGAAAGCTCCACTGCTCCAGCTGAGGGTGAGTTGGGGAGTTGTCTGTCCTTCTGACCCTTCTAATTTAATCTTCATTAGCAAGGCTTGCTCTGTGGCCTTGCTTAGCACACCAAACAATATCTGATGGGTCTCATATTTAGTTAAGTGTCTGTAACGAAAGGGGACTAATTGGCATGTTAATGCTACAGTGAATGAAAGTTTTCAACAGCAAGCTATCGGGTTCCATCCTTTGCATTCTAGTCAATATTTTTATCAATGGCTCTAGTGGGGAAACAGATGGTATGGTAATCAAATTCTTAGATAGCACAACCCTGGGAAAAATATCAAAGACAGGATCCAAGGAGATCCCAACAGGTTGCCAAATTCAACAGGCTCAGTTTAACTGGGAAGAATAGCATGCCCTCAGCTCAGGCTCAAAAAACTACTCCTGTAAGTGGCTTAGTCAAACACGATTCCAGTCAGTATGTGAGCATGGGAGCATAGCCACTCAAGGCTCATTAACATTCAGTCATGCTAACAGACACGTCTCCTTCCCGGCAAGAAAGATTACCTGGTCCCTGCCTACAGCAGAGCGTGCCTGGGATGCTTCCTTCAGTTGCACAACACACATTCATTCATTGGTTTTTTATTTATGTTTTTGAGGCAGAGTAAACCTGCCTGGCCATCCTGGAACTCACCGTAGACCAAACTGGCCTGAAACTCACAGATATTTACCTACCTCTGCCTCCCCAGTGCTGGGATTCAAGGCATGCGACATCATACCTGGCTATGACGTGAATGCGTGGCTTAAGTGTGGAGGTCAGGGGACAGCTTGTGGGGGGGGCCTCTATCTCTCCATCACATGGGGCCAGGGACTGGACTCAGGTGGCCAGGCTTGACAGAAAAACTCCTCACCAACTGACTTATCTCAGCAGCCCCCATAAGACAGAACGCAGAGAAGGAAACAGAGAAGTCGGGTGTGGTGGTTTACTTCTGTAATCCCAGCACTAAGGAGTGAGGCAAGAGGATCTCCAAGAGTGCAAAGATAACCTGTTCTACACTGCAAGGTTCAGGCCAGTCTGGGCTACAGAGTAATGTTATAGCCAACAAGGGGGAAAAAAGGAAGGAGGAGAATAGAACGGAAATGAGAAACGGAAAGAAAGAAAAGAAGGTGCTTATCCTACACCAAAAGACATAGCAGAGAGCCAGGCGTTGGTGGCACACGCCTTTAATCCCAACACTCGGGAGGCAGAGGCAGGCAGATCTCTGTGAGTTCGAGACCAGCCTGGACTACCAAGCGAGTTCCAGGACAGCCTCCAAAGCCACAGAGAAACCCTGTCTCGAAAAACCAAAAAAAAAAAAAAAAAAAGACATAGCAGAGAGCAGAGCTACGCAAGAGTGGTACTTACTATCCAAGACAGCAGGAGACAGCCTTGCTGTATGAAGTCCCTGAGCAGGGACTAGGACCTCTAGAGGAAGGGGAAGACCTATAAAATGAAGATTAGAGACAGGTGTGGTGCCTCATACCTGCATCCTCAGCCTGGACTATATATGGAAACCCCCCCCCTCTCTCTCACACACACACATACACACACACACACACACACACACGCACACACACACACACACACACACACACACACACACGCACAGGACCAGAACAAACAAAAAGCAGCATGAGAAATACTTTTCTAAGCAATTGGAATTGCTTAACCTGACACAGTGGTATCACCGGCTTGCAAAGCCGAAACAGGGGAACTGCCCCAAGTCTGAAGCCAGCCTGGGCTATACAGGCCAGTCTGATCTATCAAGTGATAATGGGGGAGGGGGAGGGGGAGGGAGGGAGAGCAGAGGCCTTGGGGAGGAAAAGTATACAAAAGTTAGAAGATGCCACATGACATCAAGGACTGTAACAGTACAGCACTCAAAGCAATGTGGTATTGACTTGGTATTTGGGAGTCCAGAAATAGAGCCAGACATTTTTGGACAATTGATTTTTTAAAGAAGATATGTACAAAGAGAATTCAGGAGAGGAAGGAAAGTCTTCACCAAAGGCAGTCAGGACAACTAAATATTCCAAGACGAAAAATAGAAAAGAATGCCAACAGTCACACACAGGACTTCATGACATGCAAAAGTCTCTGTGCAGAGAAGGCAACTGTTAATGAAGAGATAAGCTCAAAAGAGTCTTTCCTAGCTACAGAAGATTAATATCTAGACTATACCAAGAACTTGAAGAGCAAGTCAACAGATCAAACAACCTAGTCAACAAAAGAACTTTCAAAATGCACAGCTGATTCTCAAAAGATAAAATGCAAATAGCCATTAAACACAGAAAACCGTCCAATCCTGCCAGCCACCAGAGAAATACAAATCAAAACTATGTTGAGACTTCATCTCTCTAGACCAGGCTGGCCTCGAACTCACAGAGATCTGCCTGCCTCTGCCTCCCAAGTGCTGGGATTAAAGGCGTGTGCCACCAACACCCCAGCCCTGGCTCCTAAATTTTGCAAGGATACAAGAATCACACACACACACACACACACACACACACACACACACACACACACACACACACACACACACACGGGTATCTGGGACAACAAAGAAGACAAACAAGAGAGGGAGAAATGAGAGGGGAGGGAGGGGGAGGATGTGCTCCAGCTATAATAGACACTTATGTGAGTATGTCCTTATGTCACACAGGGTTAGGTACTATGAATATATACAATGAAAATTTCAGTAGGAAAAAAGTCAAACTTGGGAGGTAGGAACCTTTAAAACATTGTGCTCTCAGGAGACAGTGGCAGGCGGATCTCTGTGAGTTCGAGGCCGGGCAGGACCAATACCGATAGCCTCCAAAACAATACAGAGAAACCCTGTCTCGTAAAAACAAAAAAAAAACAAAAAAAAAAACATTGTGCTAAATGGAGTAAGAGCTATCAGAAAAGGACAAACACCAGATGATTTCTCTTACATGAGGTGTCTAAAATGTCCGAAAACCACAGAGACAGAAAGTGTAACGCAAGTTGCCAGTGATAGAACAATGGAGGATGGAGAGTTAGCAGGTAGAGGTAGTTTCAGTGAGAAAAAAATGAGAAATTTCTAGGGGTACGTGGTGGTGATGGTTACACAATAATACAAATGTATTGAATGCTAGACAACCTGTTAAAATGCTAAATTTGGTGCAATATGTATTTTACAAAAAAAAAAAAAAACAACCAGCAAACATCTGGATCTGCCTAACATTACCAAGCAGTTCTCTTTGGAGTCTGCAGCCAGCTCAGGGCAGGTTTATGCTCTGGGAGCTCACCTCTGTGTCCTTCTCCAATAACATCTTTCCTATGTTTCCTGGTAGTTTTTTGTGGGTTTTTTGTTTGTTGTTTGTTTACCTCCCTGCAAAGGAAGGCTGCTATCAAAAGCGTCCTCGAGTGGAACCTAAGATTATAAAAACTGAGATCACACTTGAGTATGCTAAGACTCAGAGCAATCCTGAGATTTGGTGGATGTAGGGAGCATCAAGGTTGGGCTGAAAGCCTGCCTTTACCCTCCTTACCATATCATGTGACCAGCAGCCCCAGGCAAAGCTGACTGTTACACAAACCCCTGATCACCACCACACTGGGTCTTTCTTTCGGAAGGAAAAACAGTCCGGTTCCAGCAGTGGTCTAACGTTTGCTACACCCAAGCCTGTTGTTTGGAAACCAGAGTTTAAAAGTTTTAAAGAGACACTGTCGTGAAAACAGGCACAGACACAAGAGCAACAGGACAAAAAACACTGACACACACGTCTACCGGAAGGTGCCAAGGGGGGGTGGGAGCCTTTTCGGCTTGAAAACCAGGAATGGCCTTAGAGGAGCTGTGGGGTCTTTCCGGCTCTCACGTGACAGCCCAGGTTGAGTTAAATAACACCTTGGATCTAAGGCCGTATTCATTGGACAGTTCCTCCCTCTCTGGAGTCCAATGTAGGGGAAAGGAGCAGGGAGAAACCAGAGCCTGTGACCTTTATTTCTCATTTGTTCTCCTGGAGGTAGGCCTTTCCAGAAGGTTGAATCTCTTCCCTTGGAACTGGCACTCTGTAGCCACTTAAAATAGAAACGTCAAGTGTTTTCTGTTTTCCTTCCTTCTCACTGCCGGGTCGACCTTTAGTGGTCTAATCATCTATGAGCTCTGGATACCAAATGGCGTGATCGAAGGAGGTGGACACATTCCAGGACGGTTAAGTCTCAAAACTAGCTGGGGGCTGGTTTTTATCAAAGGGGGTGGTCAGCGCAGCACTCCCCAGAGTCTGGGATCCCCGGCTTGTAATTCTGCCAAAGAGGGAACCTAACAGAAGTCGGAGCTAACGGAAGCAGGTGAGATTACAATGGGTTCTATGGGACCTGCCACATCCTGGGGCAGGGTAAGGCCCACCTTGTACAGCGGCCCGATCGGAGGGTGACTGTCACACTTTTTTTTTTTTATTCTGTCAGTCACCCTGATTTGAACTCTCTTAGGTACTGAATCTCACCTCTGCGTTTGACTTTAGGGTTTCACAGTAGAGAAAACGAGGGCTTCACACTGCAGGTTGCTTTCCAGAACTACAAATGCTGTGGTGCCGTGGTCGCTCCTGAAAAATCCTTACGTGACTCTAAAAGTGGGGAAGCACACCCCAACTGCAACATCGCAGCCTTGCAAATGAACGAAAAGTCCCTCACAGTTGCACCAGCGGCCGGGCAGGCGAGCAGGCGAGCGAGCGGGCGGGCGCACTAGACCGCGTCAGCTCCCGGCCCCGGCGAGCCCGGCGCGCGCGCGGGGTTGGGGGGTGACAACCGTCTTCATTTGGGCCGGGACACCCAGAGGCCTACAAATAAACACTCGTGGCATCAGGATTGGCAGCCCTCTGGCCCACGGCCCAGCCACGACGAACCTGGGCCAAGGACTCTTTGTTGGACACAACCTTTATTTCTGACGAGGGACCGCGGGCAAGGAGTAAACCAGGACAGACAGGGGGGGAAAAAAAAAACAGGAAACCCTTGAGGACGTGAGGGAAGGAGCCGGCCGGGAGTCGGAGGCTGGCGCCGGTCCCTCTTCTCCCCGACAGAGGGGTGTCCCCCGTGAAACCACTTGCTGGGCGCACACCCCAGACACTCCTCGCCTTGGGTAAGAACTCGGGGGACGCCGAAGGCCGGGCCCCACGCCCCCTTGCTCCCCACTTCGGGCCGCGGACCTTCTCGTACTTACCGGGGCCCCGGACCGGTCTTCCTCGCCCGCGTCCGCTCCCCTCCCAGCCCCCTCCTCACTTCGCGTCCCCGCCTCCAGGGGCCGCAGCCATGTCCGTTAAGGGCAGCTCGAAGGCGACTGGCCCTCCTTCCCGCGACAACAGAGGTGCGGGCCAACCTGCTAAGGAGACGGACGCTGATTGGCTGAAATTAGAGACGGCGGTAGTTTCTGATGATCTTATTGGCTGCTTCTTGCGCTAAGCTGTAGCTTCAACCGCCCCTCCGGGAGCCTGGCGGAATTATGTGATAACTTGCTCCGAAGTGATTCCCGGGAGCCTGAGTCCTACCTTGGACACGGTGTTCCGCGCGTTTTCAGGTGTAGGCAATCTGACTAGAAGCGATCACACAGTTGCCTCCCCAGTAGTTTTCCCACTAAAGTGTTCTAAAGCTGTGGGCAGGCGATACCTTCTGACCTTTATTATTTTTTAAAAAGCACATTGCAAGATCGCCCTATCTCTTTTCTTGAATCCTCCCTCCTTATTTTTTTAAAGTCCCTACGGAGTAATTCTGCATCCAAGCCAAAGCTGGAGAATCCAAAGCAATACTGCTATTTCACCCTCAGTTCATTTGAAATCTAAAGGGAAAAACAAGTTAATTTTTTTTTCTAGATAATTAGAGAAATCGCCTGGGAATCCCGTCTTGGGAAAACAAAATAAGCATGTATCAGTATTTATTTCCATTTTCCCAGAGATCTAAGTCTGGAAGAGCTGCTTTAAAAAAAAAAATCTGTTTATGAAATCAGAGGGGTCATAGCTGGGCCTGGGAAGAAAGAGTCCCTTCCTTATATTAATGAATTTAATCATGTAATTAAAATTCCTCTTCTCAGTTAGATAAGAAACCGTTTCTTACTGATTTAACTGTTTAAAACCGTTCAGCCTTACCTAAAACACCCATAGAATCATGTCACTTTTCCACAACACAAATATCTGTGGTTTATTACAGTTCATTACAGATTACATGGAGAAGTCTAAATCTCTCCACTTAATCATAGATGTAACATGATGGAGATATGTAGGCATTTTCAGGCCTCCCTGTCACACGAACTCACTACAGTCTCAGACACACTGGAGAACTTCCCCAGGGTGGCTCTCTGAGCTTTTAAGTTTCTTTCCTGCTAATAACAGCCAATATGCAAATGCTTGCCCATCTGAACATCTCTAACACTTCCTTCCCAAGCACCATCTTTGTGAGTTAAACAGAACTGGTTAATTGCTTGGGTCTTAGGTCTTTCTCCGTTGGTGCTGACTCTCAGGAAACACTTCCCAGAAGACTTCACCTCAGTGATGCTGGTCTCTCCTTAATCACAGCGGATTCTTCAGCCCCAGCCGACCAGACACCACAGATTCTTCATACAAAAGGCCCAGAGGAGTCTTTGCTTCCCTCTGAAAGGTCACAGGCCAGGCCTCCATTGTCTGCACTGCTCTCAACATTCTTGTCTTCCAAGCTCCTACAGAACAGCACACTGAACTCCCAATAATCAATGGCTTTTCTAGTCTCAAGTTCCAAAGTCCTTCCACACCCCCCAAAAAAACATGGTCAGGTCTGTCATAATGACATCCCACTTCTGATACCAATTTATCTTAAATTAGGGCTTCTTTCTTTTCTTTTCTTTTTCTTTCTTTTTTTTTTTTTTTTTGGAGCGCATCCTGGAAATCACTTTGTAGACCAGGCTAGCCTTGAACTCACAGAGATCTGCCTGCCTCTGCCGCCTGGAACTAAAGGCATATGCCATCACCGCCCAGCAGTTAATTAGGATTTCTATTGCTGTGATAAAACACCATGACCAAAGACACTTGGGGAGGACAGGGTTTATCTGGCTCACACTTCCACATCACTGTTCATCAAAGGAAGTCAGGACAGGAGCTCGAGCAGGGCAGAGACTTGGAGGCAGGAGCTGATGCAAAGGTCACGGAGGGGAGCTGCTTACTGGTTTGTTCAACCCTTCCTTCCTTCCTTCCTTCCTAAAATTTATTTATTTATTTTATGTATGAGTGCTCTATCTGCATGCACACCTGAAGAGGGCATCAGATCCCACTATAAATGGTTGTGAGCCACCATGTGGTTGCTGGGAATTGAACTCAGGACCTCTGGATGAGCACCTAACACTCTTAACCACTGAGCCATCTCTCTAGCCCTCAGCCTGCTTTCTTATAGAATCCAGAACCACCAGCCCAGGGTGGCACCACCCACAATGGGCTGAGCCCTCTTGAATCAAGCACTAATTCAGAGACTGCCCTACAGGCTTCCCTATAGCCTGATCTTGTGGAGGCATCTTCTCCCTTGAGACTCCTTCCTCTCTGATGACTCTAGCTTGTGTCAAGTTGACAGAAAACTAGCCAATACTTCACATTGGTGGGGGTGTTTGTTTGAGACAGGGTCTCTATGTAGCCATAGTTGGCCTGGAACTCACTCTGTACACCAGGCTGGCTTTGAACTCACAGGAACCCACCTGCCTCTGCCATCCAAGGGCTGAGATTTAAGGTGTGTACTACCACACCCTACCTTGGCCCCTCCTGACCACACATGCCTGCGGGCACCATTTAGACTTTCTGAACATCACTCAGCATACTTGAACTGGTTGCCTGCCAATCTAAAGGGCTGAAGAACACTCCTTTGCCCCTGACACCCATAAAAACCTACTGGAAGAGTAAATGGTTCAAGCCCAAACATGCCAGTAACACTTTAAAGCACCTTGGATAGCTTTTCCAAAGCTCCGAGGGCCTTCTGGTCACGTCTTTTTAATCTATCCAATTCAAGAAGCTAGCTGTACAATCCTTCACTATTCTGAAGCATCTCCAGTCTCTCTAAAATAACCCTGAGAAGAGGCCCAAGGCCTTCCAATGGAGATTTTTTTTCATCGGTCTTTTTTTTTTCTCAACATTCTGCCGCGCCCGCTGTGCAGCCTATGTCTGAGAATGTGCAGAGGGTGTCAGGATTGATGACACAGAGACCAGTCGGTGGTGAAAGAAGGCTTCTTCAAGAAGGCTTCTGACAGCCGGGCGGTGGTGGCCCACGCCTTTAATCCCAGCACTCAGGAGGCAGAGGCAGACGGATCTCTGTGAGTTCCAGGCCAGGCTGGACTGACAGCCTCCAAAACAATACAGAGAAACCCTGTCTCATAAAAACCAAAAAAAGAAAAAAAGAAAGAAAGAAACCACGATGGCATTCGAGGTTACTTTGCAATTATTCTTGGATGCCAATTCAGTTACTTTGCAGGTGGATGTGTCTAGAGACTGGCAGCACCCAGTTATTCCCCACTCTGGCGTCTTTAGTTTCCTCATGCCCACCTGCTCTTCCTCCCTACATATAGATTTCCTCTCTCCTTAAAACAAAAGCAGGTAGAGGTATATAAAGCAAAAAGAAAAGAAAAAATGAGTGAGGGAGAAGAGGAAGATGCCTTCAGCCTCAGGTGACCGGTCTAGGTGACATGTCTCTGTCAGAGTAGCCCGCAGAGCACCCAGCATCTTCAGCTCAGTTTGCAAAGCAGAGAACTACCACTTTCTCCTTTGTGCGACCCAGTACTCATAGGAAAAAGAGCGTCTCATGACCTCAAAACACAAGGCTCAATTTTTGTTGCTTTTGTTTTCGAGACAGGGTTTCTCTGTGTAGCTTTGTAGACCAGGCTGGCCTCAAACTGGCAGAGATCCACTTGCCTCTGTCCCCCAAGTGCTGGGGTTAAAGGCGTATGCCACCACTGCCCAGCTCAAGTGTTGTTAAGTCATTAGAATGACCCTTTCAAAACTCACCAACAGCCGGGCGTTGGTGGCGCACGCCTTTAATCCCAGCACTTGGGAGGCAGAGGCAGGCGGATCACTGTGAGTTCGAGACCAGCCTGGTCTACCGAGTGAGTTCCAGGACAGCCTCCAAAGCCACAAGGAAACCCTGTCTCGAAAAACCAAAACAAAAAAACAAAAAACTCACCAACAAAGATTGGAAGCAGTTGGGTGTATAGCTCCTCATGCATGAGCTCAAACCACCCAAAACATATACAAGGGGCTGGAGAAGTAACTCAGAGGTTAAGGTCACTTGCTGCTCTCCAGAGAACCAGAGTTTGGTTCTCAGCAACCACAGCAGGTGACTCACAACTACCTATAACTTAGTTCCAGGGGATCCAGTGCTCCCTTCTGGCCTCTGTGAGTAGGTGCATGCATGCACACGTGCGTGCACATGTGCGCACAAGCACACACACAAATACATGGTTTACATTCTGCCCGAAGCTCATCAGTAAGGGCTGAGGTGGGGCTGATTTGCTGAGCACTTTGCTAGCATATCTGAGGCCCTGGCTTCCATCCCTGGCACTGAAAACACTGACTAATGATGACATGAAGCTTTGCTGACCCACCTGCCGATCCGTCAGTCAGTACACATTTAGTGCCAGCAAGAGGCTAGACACTGGGAGTACCGTAGTAAACAATCCGGAGAGACATTCTGCTGTCTGCTTATTAATATTCTGGTGGGAAAAATATTCCAGTGGAAGCAACAACCCCTTAAACAAATGGTTGTGTCACAGCAAGTGTGCAGAGTGCTATAAAGAAGGCATGGTAACAACCTTCTGGTTTTGTTCCCTTGGATGTTCATGGTGGCTCCGAGTTATTGAGGGAAAGCAAAGGAAGAAGGTCATCCCAACAGTGTGAGGAGCTGAAGGAGAGCCCTATCTAACCCAGACACCCAAGGGAAGTTTCTGGAAGCTGGAGAAATCTGGAGTAGCCACATTAGCCTTTTCATCCCATGTCAGAGATTTTGAACTCTATTCTGAGAACACCAAGAGGTGGTGGGAAGATCTTAAGCATGTTACGATCGGCATTTATAAAAATACTCAGGCTGGGTGCGGAGTAAAAACTGGATTTCAGAGAAGCAAGAACAGTGTTGGGAAACAGGACCGGTGGCAGGGGGCTGCTGAGCAGAAGCATAAACCATCTGGCCCTGCGCTAAGGGGGCAGCAGCCTGGGTGCTAAGATAAAATGCATCCAAGAGCTATTGAGCAACACCTAATGGCTGATTTGAAATAAGTCTTAGAAAAATGGTGGGATAGCTCTTTTTTTTTTTTTTTTGGTTTTTCGAAACAGAGTTTCTCTGTATTGTTTTGGAAGCTATCCTGGAACTCACTCTGTAGACCAGGCTGGCCTCGAACT